CTATTATTGAATCGCTTCTCTCATTCCGCCGGCCCGTATTGTGCCATCGCGGGGTCTTGGGGGGTCTTGGGGGCCTTTGGAAGCTTCGTGGGAGCTTCTTGGGAACTTTAGGAGGCCTCGTGGATGGCTCTGGGTGGGCCCTCTTGGTGGTCTCTTGGGGGGGTCTGCCTGGCCTCTTGGGGGCCTCCTGGGAGCTTCCTGGGGGTCTCTTGGGGGCCTCTTGGGGCTTTCTTGCGGCCTGTTGGGGGCCTCTTGGGGCTCTCTTGGGGGCTTCGTGGGGCTACTTGGGGGCTTGTAGGGGCATTTCGGGGGCGTGTTTGGGCGGGAGGCTCAAAATTTCCGTTCAGGTTGCCCCTGTGGACCTCAATCATGGGGCCGTCTTGGGGCCTCTTGGACCGTCTTGAGGGTTTCTTGGGCCTTCTTGGAGCGCTGTTGGGCCGTCTTTGAGCGGTCTTGAGGGTCTCTCGGGCCGTCTTGGGGTGATCTTGGGGGCCTCTTGGACCGCCTTGAAAGGTGTGAAAGACGAAGAGGCGGATATGTTAAAAATGCACGCTTTCCTAAGGGAGTGAGACGATTTTTGCTTGTGGGAGCCCTCTTGGGACGCCGCTTAGGGACCTCTTGGGGCGTCTTGAAGGCCTGTTGGGCCGTCTTGAGGCCATCGCAGGCGTTTGGGGGTGATATTTCGGCGTCTCCCGGCTCTCTTGGACCGTCTGGAGGGCTTCTCGGGCCCCTCTTGGACCGATTTGGAGCCCTCCTGGGCTCCGAAAAATAGTTCTTGAGGGTTTCTTGGGCCTTCTTGGAGCGCTCTTGGGCCGTCTTTGAGCGGTCTAGAGGGTCTCTCGGGCCGTCTTGGGGTGATCTTGGAGGCCTCTTGGACCGCCTTGAAAGGTGTGAAAGACGAAGAGGCGGATATGTAAAAAATGCACGTTTTCCCAAGGGAATGCGACGATTTTTGCTAGTGGGAGCCCTCTTGGGACGCCGCTTAAGGACCTCTTAGGGACCTCTTGGGGCGTCTTGAAGGCCTGTTGGGCCGTCTTGAGGCCATCGCAGGCGTTTGGGAGTGATATTTCGGCGTCTCCCGGCACTCTTGGACCGTCTGGAGGGCTTGCCGGGACCTTGCCGGGACCTTGCCGGTACCTTGCCGGGACCTTGCCGGGACCTTGCCGGGACCTTGCCGGGACCTTGCCAGGACCTTGCCAGGACCTTGCCGGGACCTTGCCGGGACCTTGCCGGGACCTTGCTGGGGTACTTTTCGTCTGGGGACCCCCAGGGCCCGCCCCGCGCGCGCGAACTAGAAATATTGTTGAGCAGTTACCGGAGATCTTAGCACGCCTCTGGCCCGTTGGGCCGGCGAATTATTAGAATTATTATTTGCATTATTATCAGTTTAAACGCTCTTAGTATTAAACGTATTATTGTTATTTTTGATATTACTAATATTATTATGTTTCGTCTTATCCTTGTTGTCAGTATTCTTCTTAGTCGCCTTCCTCTTATTCGTCGCCTTCTTCTTGCTGGCGCTTGCCCGTCCCTTCCCGCGACGGGCCTGTGCACTTGGTTGTGCCGCCAGGGGCACGCAGGAGGAGCCGGCTGGCAGAGGAGGAAAATCTACGGATGCCGCGGCTCGTCCTGGAATGCCCCCGTTGCCACGGGGCGTTTCTGCCTCGTTCCGGGCCCAGGGACCACGACAGGCCGATCCAGCTCAGAAAAGGAAGCAGAGAGATGGGGTCCAGGGCCGTCGGCGTGATTTTTCCTGGTGGTGCGCCTTTCTCCGCAGCGTCGGATCTCAGGGGGCACAGCTGCTCGTCCTGGAGGGTCCTCGTCGCCACGGCGGGATTCTCCGAGGCCTGGGGAGTAGCGGCATCTCACCAGCCTGGAACATCTGCCAATTGGCATCGCCTGACTTCCGCGGTGGTCCCCCGCAGCTTCTCAGGGCGCATACCCGAGAGTGCCATCGCATTCGGGCTAGTCAATCGTAGGGAGAGAGATGCCCTCACATGGATTGCCCTCTCATGGATTGCCCACACAGGGAAGGATGGCGGTGTATAAATCACCATTTAAAACCAGCGACTTAATGCACCGTTGCCCTCCCTGAAGGTACGTACATTCAACGTTCGTCGGAGGGTATTTGTGTTCGGACTCAACTCCTGGAAGATCAAGTTCTAATTTTGCCCTGATCCAAAGTCCGGCTGATCCAGCTTCGTCCCTCTGAATCCCGTTGAATCCGGATGAGTTCCACTCAATCTTCGGCCTGATCCAGCGTAGTAGCCCCCCAATGAGGCCGATTTCTCTTTGACCCTCCCGACGAAGACCTCCTAGTTGTTACCTCCCAATATGTGTATATACCTTCGTGGCGTAGGATAGATTCGTGGCTGGTTAGTGTTGGTACTTTTGGGCTTCCCCCTACGCCCGCCCGCCCCGCTGCGGCCGCGGGCGCCTGCGCCTGCTTTTTCCAACACGGGCGGCTCGGGGCACTGCATCCTGGAGGAGTTTGCAGGATCCTTGGCGTTGTCCCTGGTTTGGGCGCAGGATCTTGCAGGATCGCCCAGGATTCTGCAAGGCCTGGCGGACCCCGGGTCTGGATTGAGCCGGGTCAGAAGGTCCCCAAATGGGGGTCATGTCGCACAAAAAAATCACGGTTTCGGGGTCTGGGGTCGGCGGCGAGCCTGGAGGGGAAGCTCGGAAGTCCCCCGGCTTTCTGAGAGGTTTTCCAAGCCTTCCCCGGAGACGCAGGAAATTTGTCAGAGGGCGCGAGGGTTGCCGAGAAGTCCCGCCGCCTTCTGGGAAGGCCTTCTCCTTCTCATTTCCCCCTTCGCTCGCCGCCAACATAGGGGAGCTGTTTTACGACGCAGCGCGGCAGAGGCAGTCCGCACGCGCGCTCGGGTGGGCCGGGAGACGGCAGCTGGATCGTAGTGGTGGGGGGGGCGTGTGGCCTGTTTGGGTGGCTCCTTGTAGGCTTCATAGGGGGGTCCTGGGTGCCTTTGAACTTTTATGCCCACTTGGGTTTTTCTCGGCCCTCTCGTAGGCCTGTTCTATGCCACTTAGGATCATGCTGGAGGGGTTGGCTTCTAGCGGTGCGACGGTGGCTCGCCTTTGGCGCCCCATTTGGGGCAGTCCTGATGGCCTCGGCAGAGCCACTTGTGGGGAGCTCGTGGGCTATCTTTGGCATGTCTTGGGGGCTTCCTGGACCGTCTTGGACGCTCTTGCGACCTATGCGGCGAAATCGCTGAGATTACAACTTGAGAGATTCAACCGATGTTGACTTCTTATGCTGGCCCCCATGACCTCCAAGAAGCCCCGCGAGACTCACAAGATCGCCGAAGTTGCCCGAGCTTGGCCACGTGAGGGCTCTTGCGCACCTACTTCGGCGATCTGTGCATTCGGCGATCTGTCATTCTTACCCAGGGTCACTCTTACCCAGGGTCACTCTTGCGTGTATCCGATTTACAGAATTTACGTATCCCAAAGCGTTTCGTTGGTCGATTTTACAGAAAATCGTAGACTGTCCGCAAATTCGTTTGCAGTGTACGTGCTAGTTTACGTGCTTTCGAATATCCGATAGAAGCAACATTTTTGTGGGCAGCTCCATTATGTGGTCGACCTCCTCCTGCTCACCTCCTCCTGCTCCTCCGCCTCCGCCGCCTCACAATTATTGTTGCTTGTTTGTTGCTTCTGTGTGTTGTTGTCTTGTCTGTGTTTCTGGCTCGTGCTCCCCCCGCCTGCAGGCCGAGAGGTGGGCTGGATGGCGCGCAGTGCGGAGGCTAGTCTCATCGCCTCCGCCTCCACCTCCGCCTCCTCCGCCTCCTCCGCCTCCGCCTCCGCCTCCGGCACGACCGCCTCACGCACGACCGCCCTCGCGCCCCACGTCGGCCACGAGCTCCGTCTCCGAGGCCTCCGCTGCGCCCACGCCTGCCAGGCAGCTGCCGCCTCTCCGCCATGCGTGCGCAAAAGGCCCGCCGCCCTCCCGCCGCTGCCCTGCCGCAGCGGGAGGGCGGCGCGCCCATCCGCTCCCCCGGCGACGCGCGCCCAATCCGCCCCCTCGCGCACTCCTGGACTCCAGGCCTCCCAGGTGGGCCGGGGGTGGACAGACCTCCTACCCTGACACGTCGATTGAGGAATGGGCCGTTTTCGGTTCGCGAGAGGGCGTCACGGCCGTCATTGTTGTGGGCTCAGGTCCGTCGGTTTCGGTCCCGGGCCGTTTTCACTAAGGGAAGGTCTACTAAAGGGAGGTTTGTTCCCCGCCGAGTGGGGTCCGAGGAGTCAAGCAGTGGCGAAGCGTCCTGACTCGCATATGGGCCCACCAAAGAATGCTACACTAACTCTCTTTTACAACATTTCTGGTTGATATTGTCGTGCTTCAACACACCGAGCTGGTGTTCTTAGAACCGTGCGTTTGTTGTTAGAGCAGCTTTGTTCTGAGAACACTTCGTGGTAGGCCTATTGGAATGCTGGGACGGTAGGTCCCTGCTTAAAGTAGATGGGGCATGAGGATCGCGCCGTACCGCCGCTGCATCGGCGATACCGCTCCATGGGGAGCCAAACTTTCTCCACGCCGACGCCGCCGATGCATCGCTGACGTCGCCGATGCATCGCCGATGCTTCACCGACGGCGGTGCGGCGCGCCCCCCCTCCCCACCACCGCCCCCGGGGGGGCCCACTGGCCTGTCTTTACCCCTTGTGCCCCTCCGTTCTCCGCTGCGCCCGCCGGGCGCAGTTCGTTCGTTTGCAGGCCTAATCGGTGGTTCAAAGATGGGGTCCTGAGGGATGGGGGCCCGAAGACGAGGTGCCTTGAGCAGCCTAAATCCACCCTTGGATCCCTTCTCCTATCCTCTGGCCCCCATCCTGCAGGACCCCGCCTTTTGACCACTGACCTAAGTCGGCTGTCTTTTCTTTTGCTGACGCCCTACAGGACGCAACAAGTACCGTCCTTCATGGCTGATCAACGTCCAAGACGCCCCCCCACCCCCACCGGCGACGCGCGCTCATCCGCCTCCTCACGCGCTCCTTGACTCTACCGTTTCGAGCGGGAGATCGCGGGTTGGGCCTCCTCGGAGGCCCTCGTCGCCACCCATGTTTTCGCCTCGAGATTCTGGTCAGAACGCACCCCAGAAGAGGCCCGGGAAGTAGCGGTATCGGTGCTTTTTGGCTTTCCCAAGATCAGCTACATAACGAATTGACCTCAGACCCTGTTCTGTTTCATCGTGCCGCGCAAAACAGTGCGTGTAAGGTGTGTTCGTCAGGCCACGAGCGTTCTGTATTTTTTGTTGCGGTTTTTCGCTGTGAATTGTTGGGGTGGATCAATATTTTAGTCAATCTCTTACTCGATCATTCAGGTTCACGTTTTCTATTCCACGCTCTCCTCTGCTCCGCTACTCGCCTCCTCCTTCTCCTCCTCCTCCTCCTCCCTCTGGTTCCTCCCCTGCTTCTGGCAAGGTCAGAGAGGGTGGCTGCAGGTGCTCGCACACGCTCGGAGGTACGACCCTCCCGTGGCGGAAGTCCGGCTCAGGCGCGACTCCGGCTCAGCGGGTGCTCGGCCAAGCGTCCCTCCCAAGTTCAATCAGCTGCCAGGGAGGTTCGGCGACGAGCTTGGGGGAGGAGGAGGAGGAGGAGGAGGAGGAGGAGGAGGAGGAGGAGGAGGAGGAGGAGGAGGAGGAGGAGGAGGAGGAGGAGGAGGAGGGGAAGTGACATCGGGCAGGCGTTCTCAGAAGGCTCGGACGGCCTCGGGCCTTCCGCGAAGTCTGCCAAGCTCTCTTCGAAGACACCGACAACTCAAGAAAGACTTCAGGTTTCTGAGAAGCCCCGCCGCGTTCTGAGAAGGCCTCCTCCTTCTCACTTCCCACCACTCGCTCGCCGCCAGGATACACATGGGGCGCGGGCGGAAGTGGCTGTCGACGGCGACGTTCCAGACATCTGCGCTCATTCCTTTCACGGCTCGCAGAACTGATGAGCACGACAGACCCTGGGAGGGGCCTCGGCCCCTATCTTAAGCGCGCTCGGATGGGTAGTTTCGGATGCAACTCCTCGGAGTTCAAGTCCTGACTTAGCCGTGGTCCGAAATCCGGCTTCACCCGGCTCAGTCTTGCTTAATTCGACTTCATTTCGTTTGATCCGGCTGAATCCCGTTTGATCCGCGGCCGAATCTGGCGCAATAGCCTCCGAGTGGGGCCCGATTCTTTTTATCTTTCCGACGAAGACCTCCCAGTACCCTGACCTTCCAGCGTGCAAAACAATAACACTCCAGACCCATAGGCCTATCTGGACTGCCTCAAGCCTCGACAGGAATTGGGACGTCGATGCCCTGGTGCTATTTTTGGAGCCTTCCTGGAAGGTCAGGGCAGTTGCCTCCGAAGGGCAGTGGTCGGCCTCCTGGAAGAACGCGCCGATCTCGACCAGAAGCTGGGGCCGGGAGCCCTCGGTCGGTGGCCGGCCCAGGGGGGGGGAGGGGGCAGGCCTTCGCGGGCCGCGGCGGGGCCTCTCCAGAGCTTCCAGGCCTTCTGGGAGCCCAGGCTCCTTCCATGCCTTCTCCATCACCCCGAGGCAAGTTGTTAGGGCGGGCAGGGCGTTTCGCCTGAGACTTCCTCACCACTAAGGATTATGAAGCTTCAAAAACGACAACAGTTTCACAGATGGAGGGCGGGTCGCTTTCAAATTGTGGCTCTCGCTTTAGCACCGCGCATATTCGTTTACAAATTGCAAGAGCTTCACGGATTGAGGGCGGGTGGTTTTTCAAAATGCGGTTCTCGCCTTAGAGACGCGCGCATTCGTTTTAGCAGTTTGCAAGAGTTTCACGGATTGAGGGCCACGTTTTCAAAATGTCGTTCTCGCCCTAGCGCCGCGCACATTCGTTTCAGCAGTTTGCAAAAGTTTCACGGATTGAGGGCGGGTCGTTTTCAAAATGCGGTTCTCGGCTTAGCGCCGCGCACATTCGTTTAAACATGTTGCAAGAGTTTCACGGATTGAGGGCGGGGCGTTTTCAAAATGTCGCTCTCGCCTTAGCGCCGCGCCCATTCGTTTAAACAAATTGCAAGAGCTTGACGGGTTGAGGGCGGGTGTTTTTCAAAATGTGGCTCCTGCCTCAGCGTCGCGCGTTTACAACAAATGGCAAGAGTTTCACATACTGATGGCGGCTCCTTTTCAAAATGTGCCTCTCGCCTTAGCGCCGCGCACATTCGTTTTAAAAACTTTGCAAGGGTTTCACGGATTCCCATGGTCAGCCCACTAGAAATGGTGTTTTGGAAGGGTTCAAGATTATGCGGGCGCAACAGTTATGTTGATTCGCTGTGCTGAAATCCCCAAAATGACTTTCTGGCACGGTTCTGGATCGTCAAGACGCAGCAGTCTGGTTGATACGTGGCGTTGAAATCCCAAGAACAATGTTTTGGCACGCTCCAGGATCTTCGAACTGTTGTCTTCCAGCGAGGCAGTTCCCTCAATAGAAATGAACTGTTGTAGGGGCCTGTCAAGACGGAGTTTGGATGGAGGGTTAATTCCAACATCGTTGATGATGCTTGGGTTTCCACTGGTCCTCCTCCTCCTCCTCCCTCCTCTGCTCCTCCTTCTTTCCCTTCCTCCCTCCCCTCTCCAACAAAACTTGGAGCTGGCGGTTTGTTGCCGTTTTCGGCCTCTGGGGGCCTGCGCCGTACTTGGGAGCGTCAGAAGACGACTCAGGACGAAGAACCGGCCCCAGGGAAGCGGTCGGGACCTCTGGGGCCCACGCATCGGAAAAAATGGAGCAGCTGGGTGTCTGGGAAGCCGCCTCTGTCTGCGGAGAACGCTTCAGAGGACTTCTCATGAGGCCTTGGCATCGCTCGGACGTGTGCATTCGTTTCTCGCCGGGGACCATCGAGGAGCATCCTGGACCATCGGGCAATCAAAAAAAACACGCACGAAACCGAGCAGATGCCCAGGCAGTGGACGTCCGCGCGACGGCAGGAGGCGCGAGGGCTTCTGAGAGGCCCCGCCGCCTTCCGAGAGGGCCTGCCCCCTCTCACTTCCCCCCCATTGGGTGAAGTCGGGCCTGTCCCTCCACAGGGGGAATATTCAGAAAAGTCCAAAAACAAGCTTGGGACTATTTTTTTATTTTTTTGTTTCACCGTGCTTGAGGTTTTTTTTCTCAATATTTTTTTTCATTTCGTCGAAAATCGGCCTGTAGGGAGACATGCCTGACCTGACCGTTGGGCTCACCGCGTTCTCCGCCGTCGCCCCTGCCAGCGCAACCGACTTCGAAACGTTGACCCCCCTTCGCTCGCAGGGTGTGGCCGGCCAGCGCGGGGGCTGGACGCACCCGTGGCCGCCATGTCTTTTGACATCGCTCGGCCCTCGTGCTGCCAGGTATGGAGGCCCTCGGCATGTGTATCCCGTGGCCCCTGCATGTTCCGCACGCGAGCATCGCCTGCTTTTCGATCCTCTCGCTCCCCTCCTGCCCCCTTTTCCCGCCGCTCTCTCTGCCTCTCCTGCCCTCCTGCGTGGTGGCCTAGTTCGCTACGACGGTACCCCCGTTTAGGTAGCCCTCCGCCAGCGCAGCTACCCTGCCTAGCCGCCGACGCCAAAAAGTTGTTCTATCCTCTGGCGATACATTGAAGATCTGGTCGTTTTAGTTTTGTGACTCCGGTCCTTGTCGCCTGTTTTTCGGGCCCTGGGACCCTCACAGATCGAGCCGGCTAGAAATCTGAAGCAGGAAGATGGTGTCCAGGGCTTAGGTGGTGTTTTTTTTCTGATATTGCAATTTTTATTGCAACGTCGGGTCTGGAGGTGGAAGGGGGCGGTAACCGCACGGTTCGTGCCAGCGCCGTATTGGAGTCAGCTACCCCTCACCATTCCCAGACGGTGTCGGTTCAAATCGTGGCATTGACCAGCGGGGGGGTCTCAAGTAAGGGGCATCATTGCGAATCGTAGCAACTACCACTAGAGAGGTCGCGACGTCCTCGACGAAGCGCCGCTTCATCAAGAAGATGAATCCCCAAAAAACATTCCAGAGCACCCAGACTCGATCCTGGAGCTTCGATTTTCAGGAGGGGCCGGTGACCCCCACAGTGGTACCCAGAGCGCCCAGGGCACCCAAGACATTCCATGGCACCCAGATAAACTTTCTCGAGCCTCGATCCCGGAGCTTTGTGATGCTCAGGAAGAGAGCCTGGCGACCTCCCTCGTGCCCACCCCCCCATTTTTGCCCTTGCACCGCCCGAAATTATGCGCTCACGAGGGCCTTCTGTGTGTGATCCCAGCTCCTTCCCCTCCCTCCTGCACGGTGGCTGATTTCGCCCAGCGTTGCCCCGCGTCGCTTCACTCACCAGCGCAGTCTCTCTGCCTAGCCGCCGACGCAAAAAGTGTGATCTCAGCTCTCTGGCAGACCCTCAGGGTCAAGTTGGGCACGTCCCTTGACAGGAAGAGTACTCAACAATAGTCACAACATAGAATGGGGACGATGTTTTGCCACTCGTTGAGTCTTTGTCCGTATTGGACTATTTTTGTTTTTCGTCCAAACTCTGCCTGTAGGATGACATGCCCGACCTCTGCTTAGCCGCGACGCAAGAAGTGTGATCCCAGCTCCCTGGCAGACCCTCGGGGGCAGCGAGGGGGGGGAGGAGACCGGCCCTGGGGAGAACGCGTCGGCCCCCGATCGCCCACGGATCGCCGATCAGGGGCCCGGTGCGCCCTGCAACGCCCAGGAGCGGGCGGATTCGCCAGAGGGGGATGATGATGACGTTGATGTTGATGTTGATGTTGATGTTGATGATGATGATGATGATGATGATGATGATGATGAATGATGATGGTGATGATGATGATGATGATGATGATGCTGATGATGATGATGATGATGATGATGATGATGATGCTGATGATGATGATGATGATGATGATGATGATGATGATGATGATGATGATGATGATGATGATGATGATGATGATGATGATGATGATGATGATGATGATGATGATGATGATGATGATGATGATGATGATGATGATGATGATGATGATGATGATGATGATGATGATGATGATGATGATGATGACATCATCATCATCATCATCATCATCATCATTATCATCAGGAGGAGGAGGAGGCGGAGGAGGAGGAGGAGGAGGAGGACAGGTCGACGTCTCCCCCCCTTGAGCCACTGCCCCCCCTTATCGCTGCCCCTCAGAGCCCCTCTCGTGCGATGCTGGGGGCGGGTAGCCCGGCGTCCACGCTGCAGAAGGGCGACGTGCGGGCGCTCCAGGGCTCGCGGGTTGGCTCGACAAAGGGCTTCATCCAGGCGCGGGGCGCTCCAGACAGGGTCCTCCCTCCCTCCCTCCTCCTCCCTCCCGCATTCCTCCTTCCTCCTCCTCCCTCCTCCTCCTCCTCCCTCCCTCCCTCCCCTCCCTCCCTCCCTCCTTCCCTCCCAAGAAGAGCTGCATAGCGATGCGGACAGGAACTCTGGCTCGGAGTGTCGCTCCGCCTGCTCTGGCCCACCACGCTTCGGCGCGACACGCCATCCGCTTCCGGGTCTCGAGGCGTCAACGTCCTGGGCCTGTTCCAGCCTCCCGCTCCGCGGAGCCCAGCGACACGCCACCCGCTTGCGAGGCATAGCGTGTCGCTGGGGCCGCCGCTGCGACACGCTATGCAACAGGGCTGGACCTAAACGCTGTCTTGCTGGACTTCGGCCGTGGTTTGTGTTTCGTGTTGGCAGGGAGGTACAGGAAAACAGGTAGAGCCAAAGGAACAACAAAACGAACACAGCACGAAAAGCAACGTCTAGGTCCAGCCCTGCTATTCAAAAGTTCCCGACCGTAAGCGTTCGCAGCTCCGCGCGGAACTCTTCGGTCGGCGCCAGGCCCTCCTGGTGGCGCCTCAGGCGCCGGGAGAGGGCGGGCCCAGAGCAGATCCGAAAAGTCCTCGCGGACCTCCGGGAGGAGGGAGGAGGGAATGAGTACTATGAGGGCAATGAGGAGCAGAAGGAAGAGGAGGAGGAGGAGGAGAAGGACGAGGAGGAGGATGAGGAGGAGGAGGCGGAGGAGGAGGAGGAGGACGGGGGCGGAGGGGGAGGAGGAGGGAGGAGGAGGAGGAGGAGGAGGAGGAGAAGGAGGGGAGAAGAAGGGGGAGGTGGAGGAGGAGGAGGAGGAGGAGGAGGAGGAGGAGGAGGAGGAGGAGGGGAGGAGGAGGAGGAGGAGGGAGGAGGAGGAGGAGGAGGAAGAGGAGGAGGAGGAGGAGGAGGAGGAGGAGGAGGAGGAGGAGGAGGAGGGGAGGAGGGAGGAGGAGGACAGGGAGGAGGAGGAGGAGGAGGAAGAGGAGGAGGAGGAGGATGGTGCCTTCGGTTTCCTCATCTGGAAGACAGAGCCCAGCCCTCGAGGGGCCGCGGCACCGGCGGAGGGTCCAATCCAGTGCAGCCACGCCTGGCGCGGGGCGCGGCGCTCGCCTTGTGCTGCACCGCGCGCCGCGGGCAAAGTCGGTGCTGCGGAGCGCGCAGGGGCACGTGGATACCCCTGTGGGGTGTGATCTCAGTGTGCCCTGGAGGCGGCAGGGCTTTCTCTTACCGGTTTCAAGAAGCTTGTTGCTTGACAGGGAGACCGTCAGAAACACGGTCCACCGAAGCGGTCAAACAACGGCTCACCGAACCGTCTTGGGAAGTCCAGGGGTTCGAAGGACGTCTGAAACAGATTTGAAAACGGATCGGATCCAGCTGAAATTGTGATCTGGAACAGGCCCCCACACAGAAACGGAAACGGTAAAACTACGTCGCTGGTCACGTAAAAAAACGGTGCCAGAAGTGGCAAAGACATTGATTACATTATATTTGCCATAGATGTGTGCAGTCGATGTGGTGCGATCTACGTGATGCGCTATATCTGGTCGAATATATGTTGCGCACTCTATGTAGAGCAATATATGTGATACAATATCTGTGGTGCAATCTGCGTAGTGTAATCGTTGTTGTGCGAAATTCGGTGTGCAGTGTACGATATGCAGTGTACGTTGTGTGATCCATGTGGTGCAGTCTACGTGGTGCAATCTAGGTGGTGCAGCTTTTGTTGTGCAGTCTGTCTGGTGCAATGGATGTGGTGCAATATGTGTGCAGCCTATCTGGTGCAATCGATGCGGTGCAATACGTGTGCAATCTATCTGGTGCAATAGATGTGAGATGTTTTACACATTCGTTGACAAACCCCATGCCTTTGCAAACATCCCACCCACTAACCCACCCGCAACATGGTTTGCAATACCCATGCGGAGGCGATTGCGATGAGTGCTTGACGTTTGCTGGTGCATCTCTGCGGCCGCGCTGGCCCGCGCATGCTCGCGCGCACATCGGCCAGCTAGCTTGGCGCGACCGACGCGGCCGCCTTGACACTGACCGCTGGGCATTTCCAGGCAGGCACTTCAGTTCAGTTCGAATCGGCGAATTGGGCGGGCGCGGTATCGTGGCAACCGCCGACAACGGTAGACACAAGGATGACATTCGCGATGCTGGTGACGATGGTGACAATGACAACGGCAAGGCCAGTGATGGCGCCGATGCTGGTCACGCCGGCGACGATGACGGCGTCCTCGCATTGGCGATGCAGGTTTTGGGAAAAGTTCGGCGTGCGCGCGCGGACGACGCGCGAGAGTGGTCCGCATGTTTTCATTCGGCACGCACCGCGCCCTCCCCCAGCATGCGCGAAAGGGCGCTCGAAGGATGTTGACATGCGGCGAAAAAGGCCCGCTTGGCACAATCTCATGAGCATGTGGAAAAAACCGATGGTTTGTCTTAAGACTACACACAAGCGCAAGCGTTTTTGTTCACCCTTTGTTGGTTGTTTTACAAATTGCCTTGCGACACCTTGTTTTTAGTTGTATTGGTTCGACACCCGTTTTTGACAATGAACGGAACCAAAGAGTTTTGAATGATTCCAGCGTGCGCGCGCGCACATCCTTCCATTTTTGTTTGTAATGGGCTCTTCCGACACACACGCGCGCAGGGGCGTTAGATCAATTTCGACATGTGCGCGCGAGGGGCCCGCTTGATAGCATTGTATGACAATGTTGAAAACTATCGTTGCTTCTCTTAAAAAATCGCAAAACAAGCGGGTGCAAGTTGTGCTTGAAGGGTACTGATGCGAAGCCATGTGCTTTACATGTACATATACATACGTACATATTTGATAGACGTGTATATATATATATATATATAAATAAGGGCGGAACGGACTCCCGAAAAAAAACGGACTCCCGGGATCTGGGGCTTTGGGACCCTCCGGACGGGCCTCCAAGCGGCCACGGGGCCTCGCAGGGCGCTTTACCAAGCCTTCCCAGCACTCCTAGGGCGATCAGATGGGTCATCGAAGACGTCCCAGAGACCCTCAAGACAGCACAAGAGCGCTCCAACGGTGACCGACGTGACCTCAAGATGGCCCCAGAGGCCTCCAGGACGGCCCCAAAGAAGCCTCCAAGAGCACTCCCAAGAAGGCCCCCGAGGCAAGAATCATTGATCTTCTGCTGGTTTTTGGTGAATTTGGGGGTTCTCCTCTTTTCGGCTTCCCGACGCTCCAAGACGGCGGTCTTCTGTGCGTCCGAAGCCGCCTGGGAGGCTCCAAAATCGCCCCACAACCATCCGAAAGGGCTTCCAGGCAGTCCAAGAGAGCCCCAAAACGGCACAACACGGATCCAATGTGGCCCTCAGCGAGCCACATGGCGGCCCAAGATGGCCCAAAGACACCCTCCGAAGAATTCCAAATCGTGATTCGGTCGTTCAGGGAGACTGTGGTTGGATGCAGTGTGGCCCGAGGAAGCCCCCGGAGGCCCCCAGAATACGCCCAGAAGGCCTCCAGAAGTCCTTAAGAAAGCTTCAAACAACTTTTGTGAGGCCCCTAGAGGCTCTCCAAGGAGGAGCCTCCGCGAAAAAGAGCTCAGGAGGATGGGGAGAATGCGCAGGGCATGGCGAAAATAAGGAAGAAGAAGCTTGGAGGAAGGATAACGAATAACATTATTATAGCGGCGATGCCTGAAAAGGCAACCAGGAGTTATCGCTAAAGTGTCGCTTTGGCGTTCCTGCTATTCCGCCTGCATGCCAAACTTCAAGGACCAAGGTGCATGGCGCGAAGCGCCACTGCAGTCTTGTGTATATATATATATATGTGTATGTATGTATGTATGTATGTATGTATGTATCTATGTATGTATGTATGTATGTATGTATGCATGCATGCATGCATGCATGCATGCATGCATGCATGCATGCATGCATGCATGTATGTATGTATGTATGTATGTGTGTGTGCGTGTGTGTGCTTGTGTGTGTGTGTGTTCGGGACACTTGATTTTGAACTCTTCGGGACCCAAAGTTCCTGAAGGATTTTGGGATGCGCGCGTGACGACGCACGCGTGGGCGCGTGCGGGGGGGTGCAGGAGGACTCTTGATTTTTTATAAAACACAAAATAAGCGAACTCGGACACATAGTAGTTTATAGGAAGGGATGAAACGGGCGATGCCGGCTTGTTTGGGATGGAATGAGTGGATATGTGGGATGGACGATGGGGCTGAGTCATCATAGACATATTACATTTCGAAAAAGGGTATCGTTAATTCAGGGGGGATAGATCCCATGAGTTTTCTGAACGGAAGAATCCCTGTGGTGCGCTTAATTGGCAGAACTTGAAGTTGTCAGTTCCATTGCTCGCGGCATCATTTCACCCGCCCACCCGTACCTTGGTTTGCAAAAACCACGCGGTGGCGGTTGCGATGGCTGATTCGCGCTGGCTGGAGCATTGCTGCGGCCGCGCTAACGCGCGAAGGGCTCGCGTGCAGAGCGGCTGGCTAGTTTTGGGCCACCGGCGCGGCCGCGGTGGCGGTGACCGCTTGGGATTTCCAAACGCGTTTCGCGGGCCGCGCTGTCGCGCGGGAATTTCAGTTTCAGTGTACACTTCGGACGGTCGCGGTTTCATGGCAACGCCGACAACGGCAGACACGAGTGCAATGATGGTCAGGATGGTGACGATGACGACTGCAAGGCCAATTCCGGCGCCGATGATGGTCACGCTGATCACGATGATGGTGTCCATGTGCCAGTGATGAAGGATTTGGGAGGTTCTCGACTTTTTCTCGAAAATGGCCCGCATGATACTATTTGACAGGGACCGTGACCCCCCCCCAGCAAACGCGCGAGGGCGTTCAAGTGATTTCGACAGGGCGTTCGCAAAAGGGAACGCTTGGTCGCATTTGGTGTAGTTCGGGAGACGCATGGTCCCCTCAAGAATTCGCAAGTGCGTGCGCGCATTTTGATATTTGTCCAGAACCACTTTGCGAAACCAGTGGTTGTTTTATATGTTGTCGGGAACCTCGGTTTTGTAACCCTTGCAAGACTTAATGGTTCTGAAGGTTTCTGGCGTGCGCGGCGCGCGCCGACGCGCGCGTGCCGATTCTGTCCAATCTGTCTATGGTGTAACCGATCCCGATCCACATCCCCATCCACATCTCGGGCCCCACCGCCTCACCAACTCAGTTGGGGACACACGCCCCCCGAACCCCGAAGAGAGCAGCCTACATCCCCATCCGAGGGGGCCCACCCAACGCTGGTGGAAACTGGGGTCGATTAAACGATGTTCGACTTGCTGCAAGGGAAGCCTTGGCCCGCAGGCCCCGACGACGGGGCGGCGACGGGGCGGCGACCGCGGACACCGAGCCGCCAGGCCGGCCCGCCCGCCCAGATCTTTGAACAGAAGCACGATCCCCCATGTGCAAGGAGGAGGAGGAAGAGGAGGAGGAGGAGGAGGAGGAGGAGGAGGAGGAAAGGGAGGAGGAGGAGACGGAGGCATTCTGTGAGGTAGAACGGTCACGAAACGGCTCTGTCGTTTCCACGGCCCCGGAAACGGGCAGGATCCGCGCGACGGGCGCGCCAAATTTGACGGGGGGGCCGCATGCGCACACCCCCCGCTGAGGCCGCAGTAGTTTGAGATCCCTGTGGGCATAAGCCGCGCGATGGTGTGTGCCGCGCTGGTCTTAAGCCGAGCCTGTCCCTCTGCAGGAGGAATGTTCAAAAACAGTAAACAAAAAGGGGATGATTGTTTGACCATTTTGTGAATTTGTTTGAATAGTTGTTCGTATTTTGTACGTTTCATCCACACTCCGCCTGTAAGGGGGACACGCCCGACCCAACGCTGGTCTGAGGTAGCGCGTGCTGGCGCGCCCGCTGAGGTTGGGGATGGGGCTCCCTATGCGGTGCCGAGCTGGGCGATGGTCGTGGGTGGAGCGCCTTTAGTGGGCACGGTCAGCGTCAGGAGTGTACCGAATTTGGGGAGGGGGTGGGGCTGCGATCGTGCCTGCTGAGGCCGTGGGTGGAGCTCCATGTGGGGGCACGTTCCGAGCTTGGGGTGTGGCCAACGGGGCGGTGGTAGTGTATTGGATCGCTCCACTTGTGCTGAAGGCGGATGTCGCTGAGGGGCACGCAACGTGTGAGGGGTGTACCGGGCTGGGCGCGGGTAGCTCATACGATCACGTCCAATGAGGTCTCAGTGGAGCTCCTCGATGTGCACAAGTAGGGTGTGGTGAAGCTGGCGATGGTAGCGCATGCGATGGCTCCCATGAGGCCGTGGGAGGAAACGTCTGTGCAATGTCCCGACCTGAGGGTTTGTGGCGCATACGACCGCGCCAGCTGTGGCAGCTGGTGAGCCTCCCAATGGGGCACGAAACGTGTGAGGGATGTGCAGAAGTGTGGGGGGGGGGCGGTAGGGCCTGTGATCGCGCCCGCGGAGGCTTTCGGTGGAGCGGATGACGGGCCACGGCAAGTGTCAGGGTTGTGTGGAACAGGCGGTGGGGAAGGAGGAGGAGGAAGAGGAGGAGGAGGAGGAGAGGGAATAGAAAGAGGAGGTGAGGAGGTGGAGCGCGGCGTTGCGGAGAGAACGCGTGCACGCAACAACACAGGGGCGTCGTGCAAAACAGAAGGAGGTTGGGGGGACGAGGACGCGGGGGCTGTCGGGAGAAGGAGGAGAAGGCGCGTTCGCGGCCTAGCAAGCTCGAAGCGAGGACCCGACTCCGCAGAAGAGCGGTTGGAAAACGCACCCGCGCGGCTTCGACGGCGGCGGTCGGCGGAAGTATAGGCTGACCCTGCAGGAGAGATCATCGATCGGGCCCCATGGATTTCTGAAGCCGGCGAGGTGTGCGGAGAGACGCTGGCGATCCCGCACGGCAAGAGGAGCAAGTCGACCTCCAGCCTCACGCCCCTGAGCGCTCGCGAGGGGACCGAGGCACGGTCCGCGTTCTCGGAGCACTCCCACTGCTACGCCTCGATGGACAAGAAGCCGCTCATACCGTACAGCCCGAACGCGCACCGCTCGCGGCTGGCTCAGCCTCCCGCGCCCCTGCCTGCCAAGAACGCCTCCAGCATCGTCTTCGACGAGCCAGGCATGTTCACCTGCCACAAGCGGAGGTTTGTAACCACCAGCGCCCTGACCCACAGCGGTGATCCGGTGGACCCCAGGAGCAACACGGCGATCATCGCCGAGGCGACACGGATCCGGCGCCAGCAGCTAGCCAAGTGAAGCGATAGGCGACGATCTTAGCAAGGTGCTCTCGCGGCGGATCCCATGATCACGAGTCAGCCGTCGCCATTTGCGACGCAGTTCATGCCATGAGTCGCAATCCCCCCCCCTGCAGGTGTTCTTTGAGCAGCTTTGCCACTGCATGACTCCACGAGGCCTCACAGGCCGTTTCCCCATCGGACGCCAGCTGCAAACCTGCACCGATCCTGGCCGTGTCAATCCTGGGCCCTCGAGTGATGGGCTTGTTTTCCACCACCACCACCACCAACAGAAGTTGGAGGGGGAAGGAGGTGGAGGACGAGGAAGAGGAGGATGAAGAGGAGGAGGAGGAAGAGGGGAGGAGGAGGAGGAGGAGGAGGAGGAGGAGGAGGAGGAGGAGGAGGAGGAGGAGGAGGAGGAGGAGGAGGAGGAGGAGGAGAGGACCCCTTCACCCTCCAACTTATGGTGGTGGTGGTGGTGGAAAGCAGGCCCATCATCGAGGGGCCTTGGCCAGGATCGGTGCTGGTGCCTGGCTGGCGTCCTCCCAGGGTCGACGGCGAGCCCGGGGATGGGAAGCGAGAGGGGCAGGCCTCCTCAGGAGGCGGCGGGGGCTGTGGCGGGGCTTCTGAGAAGCGCCAGCGCCTTCCGAGAGGCCTTGCAGGCCTTCTCTCAGACGCCACGGACGTCTTCTCGGAAGGCCGGAGGGCTTCCGAGATGGTCCGCCGCCTTTGAGAAGACCTTCCCCCTCTTGCTTCCCCACTGGAGTTCATACAGCGCCTCCTTCATATTCCGACAGCGCGTACGGTTCGGTCGATTTCAAGTTCTGCATGTGTTATGATATGCGGCGCTTACTCGCTCCTGGATGCTGATGTTTAAAGGCTTACGCCTCATCCGCTGACCTCCCTGTTCATTGTCGCCTGTCTTTGGCTCCCAGTCTGTGCCACGCAGTGCTCGCGTGTCGTGCCGTGTTTTTGTCCACACGCGATGTGAACTTTGGAGTTCCCTTGGGTGTCGTGTGGAGCGTCTTGAGGCTTCGTAGTGCGGAGGTCCCGAGATGGTTGGAGTTCCCGCTCTCGGGGCGTCTGGTTTGCCTTTTCGGGTTTTTCCCGGAAAGGGCTCCGGCCCAGGGTTCTCTTTTACTATGTAAACATATTCCCCCGGTGCCAACTTGAAGGAGGCCGGCGGATTTTTTCCCTGATAAATATCGAGGTCGAAGGAGGCCGGCGGATTAAAATTTGAGGATGTCTCGAGCGAAACGCTTGTTTTTGAAATCCCGATCGATAAATCACAGGGTGCGGGACACTTTTTCGTGTGTTGAGGATGTCTCGAGCGAAACGCTTGCTCCGCAGAGTTTGCCGAGGATGTCTCGAGCGAAACGCTTGTTTTGCAGAGCCGACCGCGACGCGGAAAAGCGCCCCGCGCGAAGGAATTTCGATGATGTCTCGACTAATTCGTTTGTTTTTGTACGATTTCCTGGAATTTTGGCAGGATGTCTCGAGCGAAATGCACGACCCCACCCTAGCACGACCATACCCCAGCACGACCACACCCCAGCACGACCAGACCCCAGCACGACCCCACCCCAGCACGACCCCACCCCAGCACGACCATACCCCAGCACGACCACACCCCAGCACGACCCGACCCCAGCACGACCCTACCCCAGCAAGACCACACCCCAGCACGACCACACCCCAGCACGACCTCACCACAGCACGACCACACCCCAGCACGACCACGCCCCAGCACGACCACGCCCCAGCACGACCACGCCCCAGCACGACCACCCCCCAGCACGACCACCCCCCAGCACGACCACCCCCCAGCACGACCACCCCCCAGCACGACCACACCCCAGCACGACCACTCCCCAGACAGCACGACCACACCCCAGCACGACCACACCCAGTCGCACCCCCGTGGAATGTTTCGTGGCGTGTCTGGTTGAGTGGTTGCCTGTTCGTGGGGTGTCTCGTGGAATGTTTCACGGGGTGTCTCGTGGAATGTTTCGTGAGGTGTCTCGTGGAATGTTTCGTGAGGTGTCTCGTGGGATGTTTCGCGGGGTGTCTCGTGGGATGTTTCGTGAGATGTCGCCCAGTTGGGTATCGTGAAAACGTGACCATGCTGCACATGTCTTTATCCCTTTCCGGGTTCGTGGGTCCATCATGTTGTGCTGGTGTTGTCGGGGCTCTCTCGGGTGGTGCTGCGGTCTCAACGTTGCTTGTTGAGTGCGGCCGGGCCGAGACCTCGGTGGGAGACCGAAGCGCCTCTTGGAAGCCTCGTTTGAGCTCACTCGAGGCCTCTTAGAGGGCTCCTGGAAATTCTTGAGGGACTCCAAGCGGCTGCTCCGGGCCCCTCGGGTCCGCGTTGGCTTCTGGTGGCCTCTTCGGGACGTGCCGGGGGCTTGTGGGACCCTTCTGGGGGCGCCCTTTAGAGCTCCTTGTGGGTCTTCTTGGGGAGTCTGAAAGGCATCTTGGGGCCTCTGCGAGGCCACTTGGAGGCTTCGTGAGGCGTTTGGAAGGCCTCGGGGGCCGTCTTGGAGGGACCTTGGGAGTCTTTGGGCCGTCTTGGATGCTCTTAGGACCAGGGGGGCCGCAATGCAGTGTACTTGGGTCCCTTGGGGTTCTCTTGGGCGTTCACGTGGGGCTCTCGTGGGTCGTCTTGAAGGCCTCTCGGAGCATCGTGGGTCATCTTGAACCGTCTTGGGTCGATCTGGAACCGTCTTGGAGGCGTATTGTGGCCATCATTGGCGCTCTCCGGGCTGCCTTCATCAGTCTTGCAGGCCTCAGAGGCCGTCTTGGGGTCCCCCGCACGAGCCCCAGATGGGCCCAATTCGATTTGACGGGGCAAGGCAATCACGTTCAGATCCAAATCCCTGGAAAGGAGTGAGCGTTAAGGAAGCATTGCTGTGCGTGCAAGCAGATGCGCGCCGAATTGGCAGGTTGTTCGCAGGCGCACTGGTAGCTCGTGCGCAGAGATGTGCTTCGCCGTTACCAATGTGACCAGGCCTTGGGCAGAAGCAAAGGTAGCACGTGGTCCAGGCAGGACTTGCAGCGGGAGGCCTGCTGGGGGATGACGACCCAGAAAAGGTCGGCGGATAGGAAGCATAGATGTGTTTGTTAGGATGTCTGCCAGGGCCTCAAGAAGCCCTATTGAAGTATGTATGAAGGTATGTTCGAGCTTCTTTCGGGCCTTGGGGCCTATGCGGGATCTCTTTCGGCCTCTTGGGGGATATGTTGAGGACCCTGGACCCAGTCTGGAGGAGAGGAGCTCGGAATGGCAGTTCGAAGGTCGTGCTCCCTCTTCAGGACCCCTCTTGGCGCTCTTGTGGTGCCCTCTTGGGACCCTCCTGGAGGCGTCGTTTCTTGGGGTGTCTTGACGACCCCTTGGGCCGCCGTGGGGCCTTCTTTTGGGTATCTTGGAGGCGTTTGGGGTTGATCTTCCAGCCTCTTGGGCCGTCGTGCAGCGTCTGGATGCTGAAGGCGGGAAATTAACAAAAAAACATTCTAGATCCTTAGGAACATAAATGAGTGTTGCCCGTCGAGATCCTCTTGGGGAGCCATTTGGACCCCTGTTGGGGCATCTTCGAGGTCTCGTAGACGGTCTCGTAGGCGGAATGGACGTCCTGTGGGGCTTTTTGGATCCCTCTGGTGGGGTCTCTTAGAGCTCTCTCGGCCGTCTTGAAGCCCCCAGAGGAGCCCAGGGAGGACTGGACCCCGCCCTGATAAGTTCACCTGGGGGTCGTGGGGGGGGGGGCAGGGGGACACATTTAAACCCTTCCCGTATCCCCACCGGCTCGAGCACATGCACTGGACAAAATGTCGAGGAATTCGATGCCTGCCATGAGGCACGGCCCACACAGTGACAAGACGTGTACTTGAGCAACCGAGTCCGTCGTTCAGAGTGGGGGCAGGCGCGAGGCCCGAGGAGCGAGTCGTCAGTCGGGCGCCAGGCTCCAAACGCCCTAGACGACGTGTGCTAGCCAGGGGGGCTGAGCTGTCGCGGAACGTGGTGCAACGCAACCTGCCGATAGCTGGAAGGTGAGCCTGGGGTGCTGCAGCTGCTGCGAGAGGCTGAACCACTCCGTGGCGATTTCAACACCCGCCAGTCCAGCCAACAGTGCAGGGGGGAAGCCGAACGACTGCGAGCCAAGCAGTGCGTAGCGGCACGGCGCCAAGCCCAGGGTGAGGGGAGAAGGCCAGCCGGCGTGGTGAGCATCGCCAGCGAGGTAGAGGAATGTAGGGGGGTGCTGCACTGGTGGTAGTGCTGCCGCCTGAAGTACGCCAAATTGAACCAGGGACAAGCATATCCTCAAGTATACAGAACTGGCTGTACCTCCCAGGGCACGTGTGGCGCATGTTCAAGCAAGTGTGTAACGTTGCCATTGGGTGAGGCGACCTGGGGGAAGCTGCGCTGAAGCAGGCACGAGAGCCGACGGTCACCATGGCCCGACCCTGCCCGCAGCTTCCGCACTTCCTCGCAAGACCCGGGGTCGTCCACCAACACGCACCACGTGGGCCTCCAGGGTCGCAGCTAACCGCCGATGAAGGTGGGGAGCCTAACCACGGACAGCGAGGGACAAGGGCGTCCCTGGGAAGGGGGGACAACACCACCGGCGTCTGTCGGTACGCCTGGCGAGCCCCGGGGCCAAGGGCGGGGGACACCCGCCTGGCCCGAGAGGGGAGAGGCGAGGGGAAGCAACGCCCCGCCTCGACCGGGCCCCAGACCCGTGGGTCAGGGGACATGGCCATTCTCCCCAGTGCCTCGCGGCTGCTTTGTGAGTGGGCCGGCCGGCGAGTGCGCCTCTTGTAGCTAATTAGGCTTGCCCGTTGGCCCGGACACCCTGCTCGCCGCCTGCCTCTTCGCTCGCGGCCTCGACCGAAAAATCCCCACCGGCTCATTCAGAAACGATGCCGATGAGACTTGCATTTCTTGAGGCCTTTTTCCCGGAAAGGGCTCAGGCCCAGGGTTCTCTTTTAGTTGGTAAACCTGTCCCCCGGTGCCAACTTGAAGGAGGCCGG